AAGATTAACTCCATTAACACCATTTTCCATTCTTTAAACTAGTAGCTTTCTAGAGAGCAGCATTTAGACCCAACAGTTCAAAGCATACTTTAAGAGATTTCAAATGCTTAGAAATGCCAGTATAAACGTAAGTATCATTGAAGGATTCAGAAGAGATGCTGAGAGGTCAAGTAACCTTACGGGTCATAGAGTGAGGGCCATAAAATCAATATGACCCACTTATGGGTCGTAAGTGAAATGGAAACACACTGCTTGTTTTCCTCTTTGCCATTTGGTCTGCATATTCTTTTTGCAGATGGCATTTTAAATCAAATGATAGCTTCAAGGATACAACAGGGTAATCCCTCAAAGGCAGGGATAATACCTGATTTATTTTTGTCTTTCCCCATAGCATCTTATAGAGTGCCTTTAACTTAGGGGAACTCGCGTATTTGTTGATAATTATGTCATGTATTTGATATCGCTTTGTGGCCTATCAGAAACAGGTAAAGCAGAAGGACTTAGAAAAAATATTAAAACAGTACCGTAAGACATCAAGCTATCTCTAAGACAGAATCTTTCTGAATCTGAAAGCAAAATCCATAGCACAGGCACCAAGCTTTAAACTGTATTAACTGCCATTGGTGCTATAATATGTGCAATGAATAAATTTCTCTCTGGTAACACGTTGGCATGAGCAACCAGAACCATTCTAAGAAAACGAGAATCGGAATCCATCACTTGCCTGACCTTACTCTCTCTGAACCTGAAGTATTCTTCAAGGTTTTCAATTGAAAAATTAATACACAGACGTATTCTTGTTTTAAAATGCAAACATTTCAGAAGCAAACAGAAAAAAAAAAGAAAAGTCCCATTTTTCGTACTCCCCATGCCATCCTCCAACCTCTTTTCCTATTACATTAATGCGAGAAAGCTCTGCATTGATAAGACGGGGCTTCATTTTCTTTTTGGTCTCTTAATGATCAGTCCCAGGTGGAAAATACTGAGGAACACTGACCTACACAGTTCTTCAAGATTTTAATTTCAGTGAACTGCTGAATTCCCAGATTTAGACGTAAGTTATTTCCACTTACCAAAAATAAATAAATAAATCTGAGTGTCCTGAATTACAACTACTTTGTTAAGACAGAGTGAGATCAGATCTCAAGGGAGAGTCATGAACGACTCAATTGCAAAACTTTTCATCAGAGGGCACCGTAACCTAATGTCAACCACCCTAACACTAGCTGACATTTACTGAGAAGGTACAAGGTGCTAGACGCTGTTCTTCGAGTTTCATAAGATTCTCTAAAATAAAGTCCCTATCAGTGAAATTTTAAGATATGGTATGCGATCATCAGTACCTATGTTCATAATATCTTGAATCTGTACATTTCTCACATTTTGTTTGATGCAATATGATCCTGGTCTGAAAAATGATTAACACTACTTCAGACCTGAGCTCACAACAGAGAAATTCAGTGGGTTACTAAAACCACATATGAACGCAGAGGTAGAGCTCCTGAGTTCAGGTACTCACAGCTATGCCAGTATTTCCCAAACTCCAATCATTCCTGCACTGCTGCTGCTATTGCTACACTAGTATTTCCTTAATGCCTTTAAATTGATTCTGTTTTCTGAAAATCAATTTTTAAAAGAAACATCACCTAAGTGGAAAACCAGGATTCTTTGTCGTAAATAAAAAAAGGTTAACTGGAAAAATAAACTTAAAAAACAAAGGAATTTTATTAAATTCTGATTAGCTATTGTTGTATGCCTGCTGGTATTCCTGAGCCTGAGACCTGCACTGTCTCTGTTCAAAAGGTAAATCAGCAAGTGTTAGTGTGATATGTGTAAATTAGTATCGATCAGCTCTCTCCTTCTCTTAAACAGAGTGATTGATTAAAGGAATAAAAGAGAACAGCAAAAGGAGCGACTCCCCACTGTACAATTCCAATGATATTAATACTGTGCCAGGTACAATCTAACAACCTCCTGTTACCTAGGATGTCTTTGCCCAGATGTTCTGAAAAGTAGCCCAAAATGATTTGGGGATTTCCTAAAGGATCTCTCTTACTTTTATTTTGGTCTCAGAATCTCAAAAAAAATCTTATTTCTCTCAAGACATGCTCTAATAATATACCTATTCCTATTAATCAGTGGCAAGTAATAGCAAGTTGGCAGATGGAAGGTATTAATAAAAAAACTTGTTTTCAGAAGGTAAATATTAGGTACTGATCTAGGAAGCATAATCAAGTGCAACCAGATACTATCTTGTTTGACCTTGAATAGGTCCATAAACCACTCAGTATTTTCTCATCTGCAAAAACAAGAAAAACACTACCTACCTATCTACCAACGGGGTGGGTACGAGAATTAAAATGAGAGATGCCTGGCACAACAGACAATAAATGTTACTTAGATCAAAAGTTACAAATGACTTTCAGCTTACTGTAACTCACAAAAATCCAAGTGTTTCTATCTTAATAAAAAGACCTCTGTTTGTTTTACCTTAGTACATCTTGAGGCACTATTGCTCAGTTTCAAATGCAATCTTGAAAATTAAAACTCATCCAGAAAGTACCCTTTTGAAAGCTGAAATGCCCCAGAAAAACAGAAAAAAAATTGAGGTGACTTGCTATTATTTGGTCCAAAGAGTTAAACCAGAAAAAGAAAAAAAAAAAGAAAAAACTAACATGGGAAATGTTATTAGTATACAAAATAATTTTCTACATGTACAGTATCTGAATACATTTTATGGTGGCTTGAAATAAGTTTAGCCATCCTTTCTTTACAGGTAACCAAAATAATAAATAAATAAATAAATACTATACCTAAAATGATAGCGCCATCTACAGGCAAAGAAAATATCAATGATAGCATATTTTAATGCTTTCACATTTTCTAATTGCTACTCAATGTTCAAAAAACTAGGGTTTAATAATTCACATACTGCATTTTCTCATTACATTTACAGAATATATCACATAAAATGAACTAAAATATTCTTTCTAGAATTTTTTTACTTAATATAGCATCATCTCATTTTCAACAAACATTAAAACAATAAACGTAATTTTAAAACTCCATGGTACCGCAATCTCCACTTATTGTGTCCTCACTTTATTTATTATAAAACATATGACAATAAAGGAACTTTTTAGTATTAAAAAAAAAATCCCAAGGCCCTATCATCTTAACAGAATGGCATATTCGCTTTTTTTTTGGTTCCCTTCCAAATTTGCATCTGTGGATTTTATTTATTTAACAACAACTAAGTGCCAGGCACTTTTCTAAGGTGCTTTACATATATTAACTCAGCAAATCATCACAATCTTCAGGAATATTAGCACCCCCATCTTATAGCTGTTGAAGCACACAAAGCTTAAATTAGTTGTCCAAGGCCACACTGCTGTAAGTGGCAGAGCCAAGGCTCACAGTAGGGAGTTTGTCTCCAACATGTGTGCTTTTCATCGCTAGGCTGCTTTAGTGTCTCTCATTTCAGAACGCTGCAGTTAGTGTACACACTACATTTGCAATATGTGTCATGTTCTGCTTTTGAGGGGCAACATTTGCTCACATACCTACAACCGCATCATCATTTTTAACAATTAACACGTGTTTTCATCAAGTTGACAATATCCCATTTTACTTACTTTCATTACCTAATGCTGGACTTTCAAACTATTTCTAATTTCTTTCATTATATATAAAAATGTTGCAATAGGCAAATTTTGCATTGCATATGGCTTCTTTTCTTGCTTTTGAATTTTTTTCTTATGCTAATATACCCAATAGCTTGGCTGACAAAGTATATAAAAGTGCCACATTGCTGATATATAATGCTCAATACTGCTTTTTAAATGTCATCATTATATAATGCTAACAGCAATGAAAGAATGTTCAGTTCTTCCACATCAGTATATCCCATTTTCTCCCAAATTTAACAAATATAAAGTGGTTAAGGATGATTTATGATGTGGAATAGTTAAATCAACAAATTTTTAAATTTTCAAATGGGCAAAATGTTTTCTTCCTCTAGCAACACAAAAGGTGGAGATAATATTTGATTATTTAAGTGAGCATCAAAAAAAATTAGTTTACCCAAAGTCAACTTGTAATTAAAAGTGTCAGATCAGAACTAGAGTCTGAGCCTAGGTCTGTCTGACACTAAAATCTGTGTTTTAGATAACAGAAAAAATATAATAACAAAAAGTTAAGAAGGTCCATGTATGACAAGATAAATAAACTGTATCAAAAATTTTATTTCAATCTTCATTGAAGGTTATTCATCTGACAAAGGGGTAAACTACCCTGGTTACCAATCATAAATAAAGGAATTACGTTTCCCTGGTGTATTGTTTTGTTCAACAGTTTCAAAAACGGGAAAGAATAACAATAATAATTAACAAAATGTTTCATCTACCTTTCTCTCCAAACATGCTTTCATTACAACCATGTTTCATCTATATCCTAAGCAAGGAGATAGAGGATATAAACATTACTCCAAAAACATTTTTTCTTAAATGTTATCTGTAGTATTATACACATATGTTCCTAACAGTCCAGGAAGATTATGACTTTTATAGCACTGAATAAAGGTCACTGAAACACTGTATAATAGAAAAAACACAGGCTTTGTAATCTTAAATTCAAACCCTGCCACTTACTAGCTATTGGGTTGTCAGAAAATTCATGATATATTTTTTCTGTTTTTCATTGCAAAAATGCGTCATGACTTTTCCGACAACCCAAATGTCCTTTGGAATGTTAGTACCAAATTCCTACTTCATTAGGCTGTTGTGTCATTAAAGGATATAACAATTATAATGCTCTTAGCACATGGCAGATGCCCAAGAAATTGTAGCTCCCTTTCCTTTAAAGCAGCGGTTCTCAACCTGTGGGTCGTGACCCCTTTGGGGGTCCAACGACCTTTTCACAGGGGTCGCCGGGTACTCGTATGTGGGCGTATCTGCATGTGGGCATCGAGACGGATAGAGGAGCGGTGTCTAGGTCCCTAAGACCATCGGAAAATATGTGTTTTCCGATGGTGTTAGGCGACCCCTGTGAAAGGTTGAGAACCGCTGCTTTAAAGAGTGACATATATATGGTTATATCTAGAGTGGTTTTAAAAGTCGTGCTTCATTATTTCCCTCAGACAGATTGTAGCATAACACGAGGCGTCAAGATCAAAAGAGATCAAAAGAGATGAATTTGCTTCATCGATGTGGGACCCTTCTGCTTTGACATCAATATCGTGTTCTTCTATTAGCTGGTAGGAGACATTACGGGGTTGTTTCAAAATCTTCCTATAGCATCCTGGCACATTCAGTTTCAGAGTAGGTACTTTAAACCTGCATGTCTGTAGTCCGTCTCTGCTAAGTGTTTCCTGGTACCACTGCCCTACTTTGTTCTTCGGGTACTGAATATTGTATCCAAGCACTGGAAGAACCACCTGTGGGAGGGGAAAAAAGATACATGAAACAGCCTTCAGAAAAATGTATGATCATATTTTAATTTCCTTTTATGACTACGACCTGGATCTGTGAAAACAGTCTCAGGATATAAACATACAATCAGCCTAATACATGCTATTGAATATTATACTACTTTGATTATTTTTAATGCTGCCAGGCAAAAAAAAGAGGAATCATAATATCATAAAATCAATAAGGAATCATAGTAACTAAAGTAACCAACTCAAGTCAGATATTATTAGACAAACTATTGCTAATATAGAAGAGATGGAACAAATTTAGGTACATTTAATTAACCAACAAAGACAAATCTCTGTGCAGTCATACAATCCTAAAAGCATATTCTTTCAGTAACACAAAGAATAACCCTTACTTCTCAATCATATCGCTGATATTGTCTTTGATAATTTTATATTCTTATTTAAAAACATAAGCAAACAAGAGGCAGCAACAATGTTTATTTTCTCAGCTGCTTATGAGCAAACACTGCATTTTGTGGGGTTTTCCTCCTTTGCTGATTACTTCTAGACATTTTTCTTAAACAGTACCAAAAGGTTGTCAAAAAAGGAAAAAGGTAAAAAAGTCAAATACACACAACATGAATGAATTTCAAATTCATTGTGCTAATTGAAAGAAGCCAGACCCAACAGGCTGTTTACTATGATTCCATTTATATGACGTTCTTTCAAAGGCAAAACCATAGAGATGGAAAGTAGATGAGCTGTTGCCAGGGGCTGGGGTGAGGGGTGGGGGATGACTACAAAGGAGCACAGGGGAGTTTCCAGGAGAGATGAAACTGTTCTTTATCTTGATTTTTGTAGTGGTCATATTACTGTATACGTTTATGAAAACTTGTAGAAGTGTAAACTAAAAAAAGTGAATTTCATTGTGTGTATATCTGTGTGTGTGTACATGTGTGTATGCACATTATAAGAAAGGAAAAAAATTGTAATACAATGAATGACGGTTGCTTTCATTTGGTTAACGCCATCTTTTGCGCAAACGTCATACTACACCTTGCTACCATAATTCAATTCAACTTCAAAACGTAATACATAGATAATATCTCTTAAAATGTGTATTTTCTTTTCACAGCCCCCGGTATATATAATAACCTAAATTTAAAAATGATAAAAAAGGGGGGGTAGGTGAACTGGTCACGTTTTGCCTTTTGTGGACAATGTCTAAATTTACATCTAAATTATACTAATTTTTAAGCAAATTTACCTGATGTATTGCATATGTATTAGCCGATTCCTCTTCTTCAGTTACTAGATGAACCTATTTTTAAAAAAACATGATGAAAATATGGATGATTCCCAAATGTTCCAAATTCTCTCAATTTTCCCAAATTCTGATATGTATAATTTGACTCCTATGCTGAATACACATATACCTAAACAAGATCTTTTCACAATTTATTTCTGGAAGAGTAGACTGCATACAAATTAGAATGATTCTTCCTGCTTTAACCACTGACAACTGAAGGTGGAACACACGGATTACGGTGGGCATCTTAACATTCTAAGGTGACACCCCAGTCAGCAACAATCTTTTTCTAAATTACAATGTTGCTCCTTATGCTGAATCAAAAATCTGTTTCTGTGAAACCACCCCAACAAGTATCATACTCTATGAGAACTGGTGTTTCTCAAAATGTGTTTCCTAAAATAGTTATAGGTAGCCCATATAGGAGGGGAAAAAAAAGAGGAGAGTGATAAAGTTTGAGGAATATTACTGTAGGACATCAGAGAATTCTGACTTCTCTTGCACATGAAAACTCAAGAGTAAAGGCAGCTGTAATCACTCCACAAGCACTGACAGTGTTCCCATCTTCCTAAAGCATTCATCATTTAATACTATCTAGCTCTCCTCTAAATCTGCTTGCTTTCCCCTCAATTCTCCCTATTTTTATCAATAAAGTCCTTCAATCTTTTTATTTGTTTTTCATTTGAGCTTGTTTTTCATTAAATAACCTGGTTTAATTGCTGCCCTCAGAAATGGACAGAGAACTCCAGGTGTGATCTGACCAGAATACATGGGATATGATCTCCCTTGCATTATCACTTCCAGCTTTTTGACTTTCACAAACTCATAATAAACTCATAAAACTCACATACCTATAATGTTGTAATTTAAATAATTTATGAAAATACTGAACAAACACGGTCAAGTACAGAAGACCCTGTTTTGTCTTTACAGAACTTGCTCCAGGTTAATATCAATCAATTAATTAACAAACATGCTTTTGCTGTATGGCTGCGCCCCAAATATGAATTCACCTTACTAGTTAATTGTCAACTCTCATTTCTCTATCTTGCTCACAAAAAAATTATGAGAAAATCTACCAAGTGACTTGAAATAACGATACACTTGTTAGCCTAATAATCCCATTAGAAAAGGAAATCAGGTTAGATTTCTATAGTTACATACCCTATATAACTTTTATTAGAAATCCTATTCTGGGGCCGGCAGAGTGGCTCAGTTGGTTAAGGGTTGGCTTAAGAGCGTGAGCTCTGAGCAACAGGGCTGCTGGTTCGATTCCCACATGGGCCAGTGACACTGTGCCTGAGCTGAGCTGTCACTGAGCTGCCAACAGGTGGCAGGGTGGCTTAGCTGGTGTAACAACAAGATTGCCTGTTCGATGGTGGGCTATGCCCACCCGCAACTAAGATTGAACTCGGCATCTTGAGCTGATCTGCCATCCAGATGGCTCAGTGGATAGGGCGTGCACTCTTAACAACAAGGCTGCCGGGTTCGACTCCCGCCTGGGATGGTGGCTATGCCCACCTGCAACTAAGACTAAACTTGGCACCTTGAGCTGAGCGGCCACGAGCTGCCCACGGGCAGCCAGATGGCGCCCTCCACAACAAAGACTGAAGAACAACAACTTGGCTGGTCCCCTTCCCCAATTCCCCAACAATGTTCCCCTCCCCTAACTCCCCAATTAAATCTTAAAAAAAAGAAATCTTATTCTGCCTTTTTCCTCTTCGTGTTTAAGTTTTAAGCCTCTAAGTCCTGACTTTTCTTTTCTCAATGTAACTGATAAAATATAAATGAGTGGTCTTAAAATCTATAGATATTTTTTGCCGATAACAAAAGGAAACTGCAAAAACTGAAGGAGAAAATGTTCTTTTCTTCTATAGCACCCAAAACAAAAGCAGATACTCGTACAATTTTGATCACAAAACTGGCCTTGCAAATGTACTTTGAATAAAGAAGTCTTATAAGACACATGTATTTCAGGGATTATTGCTGTATTTTGTCAAAGTAACCTTTAACTCCTGCAAATCTGAATTAGAAATGGCTGATTTACTAAATAATGTTTTGCCCAGGTATTATTTAAATGAACATGTTTTCTGGAAAGTGTTAAAAACTTATGATTTTTCATTATTTATTAAAAGGGACTACTGACATACATATCCTTCCATTCATACGAGGTAAAGTAAACCTAAGATGCGGCTATATTTCTTTTTACAGTTTTGCAGTCTGTAACTCAGTTAAATGACCATTCTTAATGATTTATGCTTTTAGTAATTACTTTCTCATCTAAATATTTATAAGCCATCCATTTAATGACTTAGTAAAGCAGACATCTGTTGTTCTGGCCTACTCAGCCAGCCATTACTCCCTCTTTTCTGGTAGCAGCATTTTCCAGGGAGCTCCCCTCCCAGTTCTCAAATGTGGTTTAGGTGGGATGGTTCCAGGAAGGGGCCCTTGAAACATAGGCTTAATCGATCATATACAATGATTAGTTTGAGGACAAGTAACCCAAGTCAACCCATTTCTGGTCACAGACTCAATTCCATGGCTTTTGTTGAAACTGCTGGGAATGAAAAGCCCTCTATTCTGGAGTTGTGAGAAACAAGCCTAGAATTGCTAATAACTATCTTGCCACCAAAGGAATAAGCCAGACTGAGAATGGATCTAACAGAGGAAAATAGAGCTGAAAGATGGAGAAGATGAGGTGGATGATTTAGGATGCTGCTTAATAAGCCCCTGGGTATAGCTGTCCCTGACTCAATCATGGACTTTCAGTTATGAGGGCCAGTAAGTTCCTGTCTGCTTTTCCTTAAGTTAGTTTGGGGTGGGTTTCCATTACTTGAAATGAATATAAATGTCTCTAAAATATTGTTAAGAGGAAAAAAGCAAGTGGTAAAATCACACTTATATAAAAGAAACACACACATTTTATGCCCCATATACCATTATAAAATTTTTTTTTTCATATTTTAAGCTTTGAGTCTCTAAGTCCTGCCTTCTCTTTTCTCAGTGTTAACTAATAGAATAAAAATCCACTTCTCTGTGCGAATTTATATAAAGCATAGAAAAAGATCTAGAAGGCACATGCCAAAAAACAGAGACAGGGGAGGGAATCACAGCAGAGAGGTGGCATCTGTTATGTTTTGATTTTTAAAGAGACTGTTTTGTGCATTACTTGTGTAATTTTTTAAATAATGTGTTCTTGAAAGGCACATATCTTTGTACCTTTCACTTCACATCATTGACTATTTTATTTTTTCATTTATTGACATGTATTAAGCCTCAGCTGACAGCAGAGCAGAGCAGGAGATGAGCAAATATAAGTTAGAAAAGAAATAAGTAAAATGCATGTTTACTTTTAAATTGTTTCTAAACTAAGGGCCTCTGAGAATTAGCGTTCCTGCTGTGGTAAATACTCCTGGAAAGCTGTGATGAAATGATACTCACTTTACTACTTGGGACATGCTCATCTTCACCGCCTTCATCCAAACAGACCAAATCGCCCTCCACCACTCTTGGTCCATAGGTTGTGAGTCTGTAAGACGCTGCCTCATTCCAAATTTTGCTGCTGTATGCATGAACGTAGAAAATGCGCATAGAATGGGGAAATGAAAACCACGCCTGGGTACACCCGTCCTCTGTCACGCCAAAGCGATGCAGTGACTCCAACAGGGCTCTCTCTCGAACTTTGAATTCAGGCATCAGTGAAAGTGTGCCTTTAGCATCCTCTGGAATAAAGGAAAAATTACTTTGCCAACCACTTTTATTAACAGGCCCATTATAAAGACCTTTAGTAGCTCTCTAATGAGAGGCGATGAACTGTGTGCTGTGTTTCACACCTGAATAGGAGGATGATGCTCAACACCAACTATAAACCTAGCTCCTTTTGAACAGTTTGTTTTTTAATAAAGATTGTTAATTACATGATCCATTAACTTCCCTGCATTAAAAAAGAATGGTAAAAAGCACATTAGTAATTCCTACTTCAGAATGGAGATGAACTAATTTGCAGTTATTCAGAGGACTTATAATCCGCTGAGCCTAGAGATTTTTAAAGAGCTATTATATTATGGACATTTACACAGAATTTTTTGAATAAGAAAGGGTTGATATCTGGATCCTTCAAGTATACTATTAGGTTTTCCTAATGGAATGTTTTTAAAAATTAGATTCCTGGATTCTACTGTAAAGATGTTGATTCAGGTAGGGCCTTGGATTTTTAATAACTGTACCAGGTTTCTCATGCACACTAAAGTTTTAGAATCATTGCCATAAGAAAATTATCTTCTCAGGACTCTACAATAGATACAAAAAAACAAGTCACTTTGAATTTTCTTTAGTATTATTTACATAATTTGAAACGCCCACAAAATTTACAGATTGTTATATGGCATAAAAATGTTTCTTCTATGAATAATCACATATACATACATATGTATATATAGATATAGATATAGATATATAAAATTAAAAATAATGAAGAGTTTTGAAAACTGATGTCCTTTATTTCAATGTAAGTGAAATTCAGTACGCACATATATGTAGATCACATATTTGAATAAATCTAAAATGGTCTGGTTGCTGTTACTGTTATGTAAATATAAGCAATAGTTATTCAGTATTCAGTATGTACCAGGCACTATTTTAAGAGCATTAGATCTATTATCTTACTTAAATCTCATAACAGTCTTTTAGGTACCATTATTAGCTTCAATTTACAAATGAAGAAACAAAAATAATGAGGCTAAATCCCTCGCACAGGACCATGCGGTTGGGAAGTACTAAAGCTGAGAGTTACATGCATGTAGATTGACTCCAGAACCCACACTCATAACCACCTTTTTTTAGTGCTTCCCATTAAGCATTCTGTGTATATATCATTATAATGAGCTAAAGTTTTCAAAATCAGCAGTCAAGGCTGAATGGCAACTAGACCAAAAACAATGCATGAAGTATTAAATACAACAAATGTACTTTTATTAGTTTATTTTTTTCAGTTTCCTCAAGTTGTAGCGAACTATACTCCCATCAGTACCAGTTTAGAATTGGGAACTCCTATTTAGAGGATTTAGTCCAAGAAAAGGAACTATCTCTCCTCCCACCCCAACCCCCGAGCAAGAGTTAGGACAAAAGTCCTTAAGATCTGGCCAAAAATGGAGAACCTAGGGAATGTAATAAAATTATCAAATATACAATATGTTACAATCCATTTCTTATCACTTTTATGTTGCAACAAATGCCCTCCTGCTGATACAATATTTATATTACATATCTCCATGGCTATGTATGGAGTAAAGAAGCTTTTTAAATACCAGTTTGAAGAAAATATTTCTTTGCTTTATTTACAGGATCATCCAAATCTTCTGGTGTAAGAAATAATTTTACAGCCTTCACCTTGAAAAATCAAGCAAGCAAACATGTGAAATGAAAATGACAAATTACTTTAAAAGAAAAAAACAACATGATTCTCATAAGAACAGGCATTTAACAAATAATATTTGATGCTACAATTTTATCTTTAAGCTTTCAAAAATTAAGCCATCAATGTTAAATTTAGAAATAAACTTCTGTACAAAGCAAGCTTATACAAAAGGTTTAAAATACTATGGACTAGAAAAGATGCTCCCCCATCACTTCCCCACATCAGTTCTTCTTCAGTCATTCTTTACTCCTATTATCAAAGTATGACTACAGGTGTGAAGCAGAGACATAAAACTCATACTTGACCAACATACACAATAAAAGTAGGGGAGGAAACCAGCAGAGGGGAATGGCAAACCACTAATTTTATTCATGTTCTCAAGTCTCAGAATTCTTTGAACTTAAAAATAATTGCCAAAATCTTTTTAAAATATTGCCAACTTTAATATTTTCTTTTAAAACCTAAAGAGATGAAAAGATGCTCCTTTCAAAAAATGATAAGTACTAGTTCCTGTATTTTAATCACCGTCTCCAGCATGGTGATTTATTTCTAAGTATGTGTCTTAGAGTAGGAGTACAAACTACAGATTTGTAGATGTGGTCTATGTCCTCAGCTCTCAGCTTTATTCCAATGTGTAAGATAGTGTTCATGTGTACAGTACTTCTCACAACTGCTGTTACTGTTCCTTTCTCTTCTACTCAAGAAAACATACTATAACACAAATGAGTGAGTGCGACACTACCATATGAATAATCTTGCATTTGCTCAAGTATAATAATTTTACAGTTTCGTGGTTTTTTGCTATTACGTACTTCATCCAGTGCACGAGTATATGTGTATGTACATAATATGTAACTATATATATATATAAAACATACATTTTAAAAAATACATAATTTTAATATTTGGGCAGATGTGGCTTCTTATTTGTGACATTCATTTATAATTTCTTTTGAAACTAGTCAGATATTTTTTCAAATCTGCTGTTCCACTATTTTGGGTGAATTCTTTTATATAATCTGATACCAGATTTCTGGAATTGTAGGGTGTAAGTTTCCTCTACACCCTCTGTTCAGTTCACTAAGAATTGGGTGAGTGTTGGTCAATTCTCTGTTAAGTCTCAAATAAGAATTAAACACAGGGATATCACATACAGTTTGCTTTCTTATAACGCGATACCAAGAATACAGTAGCTGCTCAATATATGTTCAGTGATGTAGTATATGGTATATGTATGTGTGTGTGTGTGTGTGTGTGTGTGTACGTGTGTTTATATGCTGGGTTAAGAAAGCAAGGAGCTGACTTATGTAATAAGTTCAACTGAGAAAACAGATAAGATCATATTTTTAAAAAGTCCGTACCATTTCGCTCTTCAGCAAAGCCAATCCAATTTGGTCTGTGTGAACTTTTCTTCCCATCCCAAATCTCTGTGGTCCATAGTAATTCACAAAACCTTTATTCTATGAACAGAAAAAAAAAAAATCAATTAATTAAAAGTAGATTGTTATGGGGCAGGCCGAGCGGCGCGTTGGTTAAGAGCTGGCTTGGGACGCCAGAGGGCCCCGGTTCGGATCCCACATATGAGGGCCAGTGACACTGCCCTCTACAGCTAAGATGCTGAACAACAGCTCAACCTGGAGCTGGGCTGCCGTGAGTCGCCCGCGAAGGTGTAGGCTGCAGCCCCTGCTGCAGTGGGTTGCCATGGGCTACCGTGTGTAGCCAGCAGCCAGCATGAGCGGCCAGCAGCTGCTGTGAGCGGCCATCCAGAAGCCGGTGACTGATCTGCCTCACCTGGGAAGAGCGCCATGATGGTGCCAACTTGGGCCAGTGAAGCAACGTCCTCCACAACTAGACTGAAGAACAAAAGGACAGCAACTTGTCTGTTTCCTTTCCCCCAATTCCCCAATAAAAATCTTTAAAAAAAAAAAAAAAGTAGATTGTTATGGACTACATGCCTGTGTCCCTCCAAAATTCATGTCGAAATCCTACCCTCCAATGTGATGGTGTGTGGAGGTGAGGATGTGGGGAGGATATTAGGTCATGAGGGTAGAGCTCTCATGAACAGGATTAGTGCTCTCATAAGAAAGGCCATGGAGCTAGCTAGCTCACTCTTTTTGCCATGAGAATACAAGAAGAAAACACTGCTAGCACCCTGATCTCAGGCTTCCAGCCTCCAGAATTATAAGAAATAATTTGGTTATTTAAAAGTCACCCAATCTGTGGTTCTTTGTTATAGCCCTGAACTGACAAATAAATACAATGATTCCGTCAGAATATGTAATCAAGTCTTTCTCTTCATGTTTATTTTAATAAAAAGAGCCCTGTAATCTGCAAAATACACATGGGGACCAAATGGTCTGAGAAATGCTATACAGTTAAAGAATAGAAAGAAGGAGAAGAACAAGTGATTAAAAGTTAGAAAATAAGATGAGTGAAAAAGCTTTAAAAATATGTCAGCTTTCCATTCATGTTACTGAGGGGTTTTTTGGGATGTGGGACTTCGGGTGCCAAAACCGGGCAAGTCCTAGGGAAACGGGATGAATTGGATACCTAGTATTGGATCTGATCTTTGCCCTGCAGCTCTTTCTGAGTCTGCTGAATGGAGAGACTTGGAATAAGAAACAGATTTATTTTGAAACCCAGTAAGTTTTGGCTCTTTAGATGTAACAGTTCATTTTTCAGTTATGTCAGTTTCTGAAAGCCTGGGCCAAGACAATGGCGCACTGTCACTTCAGCAGGATGAGGAAACTGTAATTTACTACTGTAATCATTAAAGACACTGGTCAGTGGTTTAACGTGCTGTCACAAAGAAAACACCAGGCCCAGATGGTTTCCTAAAAGATAAAAGAGTTTTCCACAATCATGTTATGAGGCGAGTCCATTATAATTCATTAAATAATTATTATTGAGCACCAACTCCAGGGTTGTTCAATAAAAGATGCTAAGACAATTTTGTTATAGGTACAGGACAAAAGCCACCCTTACCTTATGCCATCCACAAAAATCAACTGCAGATAGAATAAGTACTCCCTGTATTAAATCTCATAGTTAATATTTTAATTATTTACAATTTGAAAAAATAATATTCTAGAATAGCCAGAAGAGTTTTAACTACCCCTTCTAATTACATAGGGTTGGAAATAATAAGGTTTATAGCAATCAGAGCCATAAACTTCTAAAACAAAACTTCAAAGACTTCTTATTTTCAGGGCTTCTCAACTCCCTTCCTGTTTCATGATAACTCAAGGAAAGTTGGCTAACACTAAGATTATTATTAATGGGGAAATGAAAGACAGGCAATAAATGCTATTCGAGGTCAGAGGAACCCCCCTTTTGGTGTTCTGAGCACCCAATTTCAATGTAGGAAGGGGGTTCCCCACATCCACAAGCAATACTCTGGCATCAGCTGGGTAGCCTACCATTCTACTCAATTCTGACACTGTGTACTCAGAGATAGCATCAGATTCCACAGGTTAAGGGTTCAGTCCTACAAGACTGCCTCCCCACCACCGCCTTCAGATGCCAGGCCAGTCACAAACCCAGGCTGTCACCTGTGCTTCTGATGACCTGCTATAGATTGGAGGTACGGCGACCACCTCCTTGGACTTCAGACACCTGCAGACTGCTGCAAGTTCAGGTTGTTACCTGTATTCCTCAGCAACTTGCTTTAAATTAGAGATTCCGAAGACCCCTACCTCAGGTTCAACTAATTTGCTAACAGGGTCTTACAAAGCATAGAAAAACATTTTACTTACCAGATCACCAGCTTATTATAAACTCAGAGTTACGGTATATAACTCAGAAACAACCAGTTGGAAGAGATGCATACAGCAAAGTATGTGGGAGCTTCTATGTCTTTCCCAGGTGTGCCAGTCTCCGTGCATCTCCATGCATCGACCAACCTGGAAGCTCTCTGAACCCTGTCCTTTTGGGCCTTTACGGAGGCTTCATTACATGGCATGATTGGTTAAATCCTAAGCCATTGGCGATTGATTCAATCTCCAGTCCCTCTCCCGTCTCCCCCAGAAGTCAGGGGTGGTACTGTAAGTTACAACTGTAATCACTGGCAACCAGCACCTCCCTCCACCCCCCAACTTTAGGTGCTTTCCAAAAGTCACCTTATTAATATAACAAAAGACAACTCTATCACTCTTAACACTTGGGAAATTACAAGAGTTTTGGGAGCTGTGAGCTAGGAGCTGTGGATGAAAACCAAAAATATATGAGAAATGTATGTTTGGTCCTATGAATGACCAAACATATATTTCTTATAAATCACAATATTGCTCCTCCACGCTGTTGTAAGAGGTATTATTTTAATAACAGTTTTTCAGTGTAAAAAAAAAAAGAATTTTAGGTATGTCTAGAAAAAAGGAACAAAAAAACAACCATCTGAAGACTATACAATCAGAGAACTCCTATACATAGGTGAACGTGCTGGATTAAAAATTTTTAATTGGAAGACAATTTCTAGATTAAAAGGCATAACATTGATTAAAAACCAGTTTTTGTTTGTTTTCCTGGTAGAGTGGCATAAAATTGTGTAAAAAGGTCTTTGTGGTTCGAAACTTAGGTCAGTGTTTCTCAATGTTGGCTACAAAGTAGAATCACTTAGGGGGTTTTAAAAAAACATTAGTGCCTAATTATATACCCAAATGTTCTTATTTAATTGGTTTGGGAGTGGAGATTGACAACTGAGAATTTTTAAAACCCCCCAGGTTGAGAATTACTGGTCTAAATCAGAGGCTGGCAAATCACTAACTGCCAACAAGTCAAATCTGGTTTAACACCTGTTTTTGTAAATAAAGTTTTGTGGGATCATGGCCATGCTCATTCATTTATGTAACGAGTACAGCCGCTTCCACACAATGGCAATAGAGTAGTTGCAACAGAGACCCTATGCCTACAAAGCCAAAGCATTTTATTATCTTGGCCCTTCACACACACAAAAAAATTTGCTGACATATAGTGTAGATGATCAGACTGAAGGCTATGGTTGTCTATGCATATTTAGATGCCAGGCAAATGCCATTTAAATATATACATTAAGTAATTTTTTTTTACTGTAAAACATAATAAAATGTATACAATTTGTCATTTGCATACATTGAAACAAAATTCAAAATTAGATTGAAAAGAAAAAAAGATCGTGTATAATTCTAAAAAGTAATTTGCCAAATTACCAAAGATGTCTAAAAAGAATTACTGAACAAAGTTTCCAAAAATATTAATCTCTTTCCCTAAAATCTCTTTCCCTATTCTATATGGCAGGTGCTAAAAAACATTCTTCTTATACAGATAGTTTTCCCCCATCTCTGGGGAACTCTATACATTTTAGTTTTTTTAATTACATTAAAGTTGTGGTTTTGGGTTTTTTTTCCAATACAAAAATATACTGAGAAGAAAATAAAAAATAAGCAAGTGGCCCCAGTTATTATTTAAAAAAATAATTATCCGTGCAAATAAAAACAAAAGGTGCCAAAGAAAAAGTTTCCCTTCTTGCCTCAATGTAAGGAGAGGGATATATTTTCCTCTAATATTGTATTTTAAAATTGAGTATTCTTACCTTTACATCTTCTATTGCCTCCAAAATTCTCTCTTTCAGGTTTGCAGAGTCATTTACTTGGTTTTTTAAATTTCTGATCACAATATCAAAGTGATTTCCTTTGAGCTGACCGAGTCTAAGGGAATCATCTACAGACCGAATATTAAACACATTCATTCTTTTCTTTTCAATTTCTTTTTCAATATTTTTCAACCTATAAGTGATAAATAACATACTCAGTTAAATCTTACATTTCAAAAATTGTTTTAAGTTTTGAATGACAGTTGCCAGGTAATCCCTTATATCAGAATACTAAAACAAAATTGTTTTGGAATGTTTCAAAGTTAATGGTTTTTCAACAAATGTGCACTAAAAACCCATTATTATAGGATTATATTAACCAGTTATTTTAAGAAGTGGAATATATATTCCTAATGCGATCACTCTATCTATGTAGGCCTTTTGACTTCTCCAAGTGATAAACTTCTCAACTGTTCTTCCTGTTCTTAGACTCTGCTCCTTACCTCCTCGGTCTTTCTTCCCCCATCATTACCAAGAAAAACTACTAGCACCAGAGTACTTTCCTAAAATTATGCTCTGAACAATTTCTTATTCAAACTTCAATTCTTCCCCAACATCTAAAGGATAGATTCCAATTATCTTAGCATAACTTTAAAGATACTGTGTGAACTGATGTAAATTTTTCTTTACATTCATATTTTCTGTAGTCCTTAGAGTAACTATCTGTTTTATTAGGCAGACTGTGTAGCTTACTGCGCCCCAAGTATATCTTCAGATTTTCTGCATTTGCTGAAGTCTTACTATTACTTGAAGGGTAATTAAAACCCCATCCCCAGAAGCTAAATCAAAGTACTCTCTCCTCCGAGGAACTAACTAGTAATGTTTCTTATCTTTAGTAGTTAAAAACTAGCTTTTAACATCTAAAGTCCTTTTAACACCTAAGTCCTTCGCTCTTATCTATACTGCACTTCTTGCCAACACAGACAAAATCATGTACATTTTTTTTGTCCCTCATATAAGAGCTCAGAAGCATCTACCTACAAGTAGTAGATATTTAAACATTTTATGACTAAGGATTAACATATCAATATTACATCAAAATTAGGCTGAATTTTGGCCCAATGATTCAACTTTTTGAAAGTATCTACTAGGCACAGATTTAAATACAATATTAATCACAATATTATTTACAGTGAAATATTGGAACAAATTTCTATATCTAAAACTAGGGGAATGTTAAATTAGCCTATATAATGGACATAATTTTGAAATATTTCATAACATAAATTTTAATAAAACAATATTAATTATTTTATTTTTATAAGTAAAATATAAATTGCATATACAATATGATTTTCACATATATAAAAATGTCTTTGTACAATATATGTATGTAGTATAGTCTCTGAAAAAAGTCTGGAAGGAAATAGATCAAAATGTTATCATGGTTCTTTGTGAACAGTGGAATTATTGGTGACTTTTAATTTATTTTTTGATATAGTACCTTTTTCTATTTTCTAAATCTACAATGAACACATATTTCTTTTAGCATTACAAAAAATATTTTAGTATTTGATTAAGCTGAAGGAAGGCTAAATTTGAGTGGTTTACATTCTATTTAACAAAGATTTATTTTATTTATTTTAAAATTAATTTTTAATAAATTTATTGGGGTGACATTGGTTAGTAAAATTATATAGGTTTAAAGTGTACATTTCTGTAGTACATCATCTATATATTTCATTGTGTGATCACCACCCAGAGTCAGTTCTCCTTCCATTATCATATATTTGCTTTTCCTTCTTCTACCACCCCCACAAAGATTTACTTTAAATATAAGAAAGCACAACAATAAAAGTATAAAAGTATTATAGTAATTAAAAAAAATGTTTTGCAAGACACTGTCCTGAATACAAATTCATGTTTGAATATAGAAAAGGATGTTTAAAAACAATTTAGAACATTTAAAATCAGTTGCTTCTCAAAGTTTCTATCTTAAAACTACCTCTATTTCACTGTAAATTTCAGACATAACTAATTAGAAGATAATTATATTATCAATGCAGAATGTGCTGTTTGGTAAGCCTGTAATTAGTGAACTAATGTTGAGAGTGAAGATAATATGCTCCCAGTATTATTCTGAATTTTTAATCTTACATTAATTTATTTGATGCAATAAGAAAGAAAAGTTCTGTCTTATAAAGTAATGTCATTACCTCTCTGGAGTCACGTTTCTAACAACCATTGCTTGATAGGTGATGGCTTTCTTGTCTTTAAGGCCTGCATAACTAAAATCCGAAGGAATCACACCAAGTTTGATAGCTAAAAAAACAACTGCTTCAAACATTTCCAGATTTTCTTTTCGTAGGGTAAAGGCTGAAACAAAAATAATCCTAGATTACAAAAAAAGCAGCTATCATACATCAATTATAGTCTTAGCAGACTAACAGATTAATATAATGAATCAAATCATTAATATAAATTTGAATCAAAATACAAAATCAGTGTCATAGATTTCAGCTGTTATTTTTAAAATGCTAACTGGCTCATTAAAGCCTTACATTAAAAAAAAAAATCCAAATCCCTTAATTTGGCATTCATATCTGGCTCCAATCTCCTTTTCAGTCTCCACATATGCCACTTCCAGTCATTTATCCTATAATCTTGACACAGAGAATTTCTCATAATCCTTGGATGGATTAGAGCCTTCCACAGCTTTGCAGTCCCTCTGTCTAAAATATGTGTTCCTCCCATTTTATTTGCCATATTTCTAATCAGTCTTCATGATCCAACAGCAGCAGCAATTCTCCCTCAAATTATTTCCAGGTTCCCAAGGCTGAATGCTCCCAAAGCAGGGCTCATGTTTGTTTTCTTGACCATTATATCCTCAGCCTAACACACAGTAAGTATTCGAATAGTTGTTGAATCAACGAGTAAATCAATGAACTCCACAAGGAGTTAATTACTTAATCTTGCATTCTTGCATGTCTCCACAAGTTATCTTAATCTGTATCATGACACTTAACATCACGCATGTATTATAATGAATCTCTTTATGTTCGTCCACTCCATAGTCTGGCAGTTCCAGGCCAGCGAGCCAGTAAATAAAATAGTGCTTGCTTCATGGCAGATGTTTAAAATGTCTATTAGATGAGAGAGTGGGAGTGAGATTGTGGAGGAACAAGCCCAATAGCAACTACCACCAATCTTGATTTAAACATCATAAGCCATCTGAACAGGCTGGGAATTTTTCTTTTTCTTTTTTTTTTTTTTTGGAACTCAGCACTTCTGGCTCCTTCATATCTAACAGTTATTCCTTTAGAATTTTACTATAAGCAGTAAAAAGCCAGGTGGCACCTTTCACACTTTGCCTGTAAAGTTCTTTAGTTAGAGTACCCCTTCTTTAGATAAATTTTCTACTTTCCACTTTATTGCAGGCAACAGTGTTGTTCAACTTTCTGCCACTACATAACAAGGGACCCTTGCTTTTAGAGTCTAATAATATTTTCCTTACTTTCCTTTAAACTCTCATTGACAGCTTCTCTTAGGTACCTTCAAACTTCTGCCTGCCATCAGGTCCCAAAGGCATTGCTACCATAGGTTTTAGGCTTTTGTTACAGCAGCAATTTATTTCTATCTCTATTAATTATCTAATGCACCTAAGAAATCATTTCAAATCCTAATGATATAAAGCAACAATAATCATTTACCATCTGAATAACATTCATGCTTAAAAAGAAAGAAAATCCTAACACATGTACAACATGGATGAACCTTGAAGACTTTAAGCTAAGTGCAATAAAACAATCACAAAATGACAAATATTGTGTGATTCCATTCATACGAGATACTAGAGCAGTCAAATTCATAGAGACAGAAAGCAGAATGGTGGTTGCCAGTGGCTGGAGAGAGAATGGTGAATTATTGGTTAATGGGAACAGAGTTTTAATTTGGGAAGATGAAAAAGCTCTAAGGATGGATGGTGGTGATGGTTGTACAATGTGAACGCGCTCAATGTCACTGAACTACACTTAAAAGTGGTTAAAGGGCCGGTCGAGTGGCGCCATGGTTAAGAACTCGCTTGGGATGCCAGAAGGCCCCGGTTTGGATCCCACATATGAGGGCCAGTGACACTGCCCTCCACAGCTAAGATGCTGAACAACAACTCAACCTGGAACTGGGCCGCCATCAGTCGCCAGTGACGGCGTAGGCTGCAGCCCCTGTGGCAGTGGGTTGCCATGGGCTACCGTATGTAGCCAGCAGCCGCAGTAAGCGGCCGTCCAGAAGCTGGTGACTGATCTGCCTCACCTGGGAAGAGCGCAATGATGGTGCCAACTTGGGCCAGTGAAGCAACGTCCTCCACAACTAGACTGAAGAACAAAACGACAGCAACTTGTCTGTTCCCCTTCCCCCAATTCCCCAATAAAATCCAATTCCCCAATAAAAAATCTTTAAAATAAAAAGTGGTTTAAATGGCAAACTTTACAGATATTTTATAACATTAAAAATCAGGTTTTTTTTAAGTATTCATTTTTTAGATATCTTACTAGGGAATTTTTTTTTTTAAGATGAGCTATTTTGTTGTTATAAAAGGCTGGCTTAAGCAAAATTTGGGATAAGCAAAGTTTATCTATGTCTTTTTCTTTGTTCTTGGACTCGTAGGTATACCAGTATACTATCCTCTGGTGCGCCATCAATTCCTCCCTTTAACATATCCCTCCAATTGTTTATAGTTTTTTTAAAACTAATGTAAACTAATATGTAAAAAGTTTCCTCAATTTTTTTTTGGTTCATCAACTCAAATTAATAGTGTTAATTTTAAGTAGCATAAAATTTATAGATGTTTAAATCACTTATTAGCAATTCTTCCCCCTACACATATAGCTAGTTTTTTTCCCCTTCCAAATAGATTTATCTGTTAACAGTTATTGCATACCTCATGTGTCAAGTCCTATACTAGCAGTTATCTCATAAAAAAGGCAAATCACACCACCAGACAGAAATTTCCAGGAGAGAAGACACCGACATTTGAATAACTATTATGTACTAAATATTTTCATTAATTATTTCATTTAATTCTAACACTATCATTGTGAATTATGCTTCACAACTACCCCATTTTTAAAGTACAACCAAGTTATGAATTGTTAAGTAACTTGCTCGTGGTATTAGTCTTTCCATTTTTATATTTGTAGAAACTATGTCTTAAAAATATTAAAAAGTTCAAAAATCTTTTTATGAACTAAAGTCATAATATAAAATTGAACCCACACAGCTCCAAGGTCCAAACTCCTCATTTACACCAGGAATTCCTATATAGTTTCTGTGCGACACACATCTATTCAAATTTGGGTTACTGCTTTTATCTTAAATGCCTTGCTGTACACATTTATAAAACATAACCATTTGAAACATTTCCCATCCCTCATTTAGGATACAGGCCAATTAAATCTGGTCAGCCAGACTTGTAGAGTGAGCTTTCATCAGTACCATGCCATCCTAGACCTGAATATATCCCCTAAAACAGTGCTTCTCAAAATGCGGTCCCCAGACCAACAGAAAAATCATCTCCTGGGAATCTGTGAAAGCCCTGCCCCAAAGCTTCTAAATCAGAATCTCTGGGAATAGGGCTCAGAAATCTGTTTTTACAAGCCCTTTTGGTGATTATAATGAATGCTAACATTTGAAAACCCCTTCTCTAAAAACAGTGACAGAACCAAAGGATGGAGTTCCCCGTGTTTTCAGGTTCCCTACCTCGGGTAGTAAGGTTTAATTGTTTTAGATTAAAAAGTATTCACTTTCTCAAGTATCGCAAACATATTCTACTTAATTCCAAACACTTAACTTTAATTAAGATAATTTTCAAACTATGATATCAAGATTTACCACCAGTAAAATTTATTAAGCTCAAAACAACTGCTTCAATTATATAATCGTGACTATGTTAAGTATAAATGTGGTTGCTAGCCACACTTTCATCAGTTAGGTTAATTTCTACAATTATAATAATGTGAAAGACTTTATCTTCCATTAAAAAACAGACCCATGTATTTTTTCCAACATCCCTCTGGACAAATCTATTCATTTGAATTATCCACCTTTCAGTGATTTTTCAGATTCACAATTTTAACTAAGTTTATCAAAGGAAATAGTAATGATTTATTAAATTACCCGTGTATATAACTTTTCTTTCCTGGCATTCAAGAAGAGACCTTTTCCTGTGCTTGTGTGCTTTTTCTCGAAATCTTACTGTTATCACTGTACTTGGATTACCAGCATTGTAATTAGGTTCAGGAAATGATTTTGTTTCCACAAGATTTCCAAACTTTTTGTTAACAAAATGGTGAACAGCTTTTCTGTGGTCTTTGTTCGTATCCGGTTTAAAGGTAAATTTGGAATTTTCTTTCTTTGCATCCAAATATTTGAAAAAGTCAAATGCTTCTTCTTCGGATACCAAGTGACAGAGTTCTTTATATTCAAGATTTGGTTTTACAACAATTTCACTGTTTTTTCCTACAGTTATTAAAAAAGGAAACTTCTGCCTAATAGCACTATGCAAAATAGCCCTCTGGTTTTTGTCAAGGATTGTGCCCAGTAGGAATTCAGGAGATGGTCCAATTAGCTCAGTTTTAGAATCCCACTTCTCTTTTACATCACAGGCAAACTGACTCAGTAATTCATTCGTTTTTTTATCTAACAAAGAGCCTAATAAGTCGACATTTTCTTCTTCACATTTGGAAGTTCCATCATCAATTACATCTTCCTTTTCTGAACCAGTCTGATGATTTTGGTCATTACTGGAGAACCCAACCAAAGTATTGACTTCTTGGTTGCTTCCCTTTTCAAAGGATACATTTTGAAGATCTAGCTTTGTTTTCTTGGCAAAATTATTTGGCTCAGGTAGTACTTTATGAATCTTGTCAATAGGTTCATCAGTGGCCTTATTAACTAACTGTCCCTGTTCATCTATCTCAATAACAACAAAGTCGCTTGGTGAACTTTTTATAGTGCCATGAAATCCAACATGATCAGTAATGAAACACAAAGAGCTAAATCTGATTCTAAAATCTGTATCTTCTTCCATTCTTAAATAACAATGCCTACAAAAGAAACAGAGAGGCAGTCAGTTACTAGAAAGAAAAATTGTAAATCACAAAAAAGAAATAGGTTTAAGCATTTATTTAATTCTTTCTCCCTTTCAATCCTGAGTCTTCTTAAAAGGCATTACTAATTTACTTCTATATATCCTATGTATTTTGACTCTCCTATAACAAAATGAATTAACATGAAAACTTTTTCTGGTATAACTGGTGATTCGCAACTTGACTCTTCATTCACTCTGGGCTTCCATCTATTCATCAGGATTAAAAAGGGTCAGTTTCCAATTCGCTTTAAAAATATCATTTGCAGGCCCATAAAAAAATAGGAGTGTACAATGTGTACAGTGATTTTCTAAACTCTATCCCTGAAATTTCCAGCTAAATCCAGAGAATCTGTGGCTAGATTTTTACATATTAGCTGTTTGGGGCAGGAGGATGAGAAGACAGAAAGAAAAAGGCCAAATTAACAGATAAATGAAGTTCTAAATACCAACTTGCAATGAGACTATGCCTGAACCTGAAGCCTTCTTGAAAGCCCATATAAAAACTTTTACAGATACAAACTTCTGCGGTTGACCCAGAGGAAAATTCCAATCTTATCACTGGCATCAGACAGAAGAAACCCTTACTGATCTTCTTGAAGACGCAGACCAGAGAATAGTCCTGTAAGAAAGCCTTCACTCACTCTTCAGACAACCCGTGGCTACCATGCCAGATGGAGCTACAGGAAAGCTAAAATGCCCAGGGCTCCATAATACTCTTTGTGTTAGCCATACTCTCCAGGTAATTTATCATCATCTGGACCTTCATCCCATGCTGACAATGTATTATACTAATCTGAATCAATTTAGCAAACACCCTTCCTCCATCCTATTATGCCACGTAGAAATCAGAGCAAATTCTCTATATTCTAATTTCCTAGGAAATACAGGAGGATATATTTCCTTTCCTTCATTCCTTAATTTCCTGCACAGTCTCCTCAGTTTCTTGTCCTAATTGAATCCTGGCTATTTCCCCCAGGCTGCTTCCTCTGTAGTCCTATCAAATGAAAGCTATTTTCCCTTTCACACCCACCTAACTTAGGACCTGGAAGCTGTAAATACTTTGTTGACCACTGCTCTTTCCAAACCATTTCTTCCTCCTCTTCCTCCCAACATCCCAGTTCCTTTGAAGTGCATGCCATCAGGCTCTGCCATCTGCTGTCATCCTCTCTCTGGTCCCCAGATGACTCTTCTTCATTCACTGATGACTTGAACACCCGGCTCACTGTCTTCTTAACCAGCATGACATCCATGACCACCCCTATGGACCATCCATTTACCATCACAGTGTCTCCGTTCCTCAATCTCAACCCACTTCCACTTCATCTTGGTCATGGCCTTGACTTTCTGATCACCAAAAACTGCATCAACTTGAAGCATCTGGCACTCTGATTAGTCTTGCTGCCCTTTCATCACCTTACTTTTAGTACTTCATTCCAGAAATTCTTATACATTGTAAAGGTCTCTAATCTCTGCTTCTACTACTGGTCTACTACAGTCCATTCTCCACATAACTCCCAGAATGATGATTTAAAAGGTAAATTAAACCATATCACGACCCTGTTTAAAACCCTCAAACCACGTTCATAATAAAATCCAAAACCCTGCTTCCAAAGACTTCTAAGATTCTGGACTTTGTCTAGTCTACAAATTTACTTTGTAAGCTTTCCCCATTCCCCACTATACACCAGCTACAACCCGACTTCATTTCCTTTGTGCTAACTGTTCCTGCTGATTAAATCGGTCCTTCCCAAATCACAGCCTAAGAGGTCTTCCCTGACCAGTCATCTAAAGGAACCAGCAAGTCGGTCTCTTTCACAAAACTTTAATTTTCTGCATAGTATTTCTATCAAATAATTTTCATTACTTTTTGTATATCTCCCTCAACTAGAATGTTAGCTCCATGCAAGCAAGAACTTGTCTGCCTTATTCAGACTATCTCACTTTTAGAACACTGTCAAGCACATCGTAGGCATGCAATCCATACTGATAGTTGAATAAAATTAAACTACAAAATAAGAGCTGTGAGAGTGAAGGGGAAGAAAGATCACTTCTGCCTATGATAATAACTGGTAAAGTTATAATACAAGAAGTGGCCATCTAGGTCCTCAAAACTGTCCAAGCAATAGAAACGAGGCAGAGGCCTATCATAAGTAGTAATGTAAAAACAAAATATGCAATGTGTTAGAGAAAGCTGAACAGTCCAGAGCTGGAGGAGAAAAAGTTTTCTCCTCCAGCTCTGGAAAATACAGTTGGATCAGTGCCGAACTATCTAAGGCACTGAATGCCCAGTCAAGGGCTTAGAATACACAGTGGTCAATGGCTGGCCCTAGGAGGTGCTTGGGTAGGAAAAATACACAATCCAAAATGATGTTTTAGTAAGGTGACTGATGGAACTGAGCAGGGTGAATGAGATGAAGAGTTAGGAAAGCAATGTCATCAAGAGTGCTGTTGTAGGATTGGCCTTGGGAATAATAATAACATACTCTTTCCCCAGTAAAAGGAAGAAGCTGTGAAGGCATGCTAAGCTAGTACAGTGGTAGAACAATTTGGGGAGAATGTGGAACAATGAGGGAATTACAACCAAGCATCTTAGTAAAAGAGTGGAACCCAGCTGGAGGAGCTCCCAGGGGCGCACGTGGAGTTAAGCATACATGTGCAGTGTTCCTCAGCAACTGATCTGTTGATGAGGGCGCCAGGTGGAGAGGGGTAAGGTCGTTTGACTGACCCAAGGTTAGTGAATTGCTGGTGAGCACAGATACAAGGAAGATATTAGAAATGGACGAAGGCAGCGCCTTTTTCCTTCTGCTCTTACTTCACTAATGGCCGAAGCTCCGCCGAACTGTCCTACTTCCCACTCAGTCCCCATTCCGCGGAGCTCAAGTCTCCGGTGTCTGGGCCCGCTGGCGCGTCCGAAAGTAGCCTCAGAAACCGCCAGCAGCACCCCTTGCTTCTCCTCCCTCCCCCACACCCACCTGTCTCAAGGCGCAATACTAGCCCACCTCACCCTCCTCTAGGGGGCGAAGGCTTGGGGTCCCCACGCCAATCGCGTCATCGCCCCATACAGAACCCCACATTACGCTAGAAGCTCGACCCCGTCTCCCTCACCTCCAGGTGAAGTCATTTCCCTGCACATTGTGCACACAGGTTGTGCGCATGCCCGGAAGACTTACCCTCGTTCGCCTCCGACTGAGGAGATTTTAAAGGGACAGGCTACAATTTAAAGACGCGCCTGACGCGAGACTAGGAATTTCCCACACGGTGGAGCCGCCTGCTGGGGCAGAGAGGAAGGAAAGGGCGGGGCCTGGCGTGGTGGGCCGGCCCCATCCCGCCCCGCCCCGCCCCGAGCCCTGGTTCCTCACGCGCTGGCGCAGCCGGGCGGGGTCCAGTCCGCCGCCTGTGGCCCGCATCTGGGCAGGTAAGGATTTCCGACTGTGCGCCCCTCCTTCGCCGCAGGTTGTCCGAAGTCCGCGCCCCGGCTTCCGTCTCTCAGCCCCAGGGTTGTTGAGGGACCGGTTCGGAAGGAAGTTCGCTTCTTATCTTCAAAGTGATGAAAATTCGGGAGGAAATAGGTTCCGTGGAGCGCGCTTGGTCCAGGATAAAGACTTGGTTGGGTCCTTGGGGATCAAAAAGGTAGTCGGACCCGAAGAGGAACCTGGGGTTTGTGGAGAAGCGTCACCCCACCACTCTGGCTCAGCCGTTCCTCGCCACGAGTTTCTCAACTCCCATGAGTTGTGTTCTGTCTGAGCGCCGGTTTACAAAATGAAATCTTTTTTCCTGAGAACCAGGAAGTAAGGCCAGAACCTAGCAGAGAGGCTTGTGGCTTGGAAAGCGTTCGGAGCCTGCACAAGATTCCAATGAGTTTGTTTCTCCGGCTTCCAAGCTTCCAGGAAACTGTAAAGTGGGGAGGGGCTGTAAGGTTTAGATAAGGGCATTTTCAGATGGGAAAAGTGTACTTGACAGCCTGGAAGCAAGAGAGAAAACAGGGATAAAAAGCAGACCTTGAGAAAACAAGGAATCATTTTACCCATTTAGAAGGGGAACAAACAGCTCCTGTGAGTCTCTCAAAAGCGCATCTGCCCCCCAAGGAGCCCTAGGAGCAGAGGATATTGAAATATGCCTTGCCCTTTCTTTCTGGGAGTAGGCCTTGAAGAGATCTGTCAGAAAGTTCAGATTTATTTTATTCCCCTGTTTGCATGCTCAATATTCGTTTGAAGTTTACTTTCTACCTGTCCAAACTGAGCTCCTGACCTTCCCGGCCAAATTTGTGCCTTCCACAGTCTTCTCTGTCTCAGCAAATGTCAGGAACCTTGTTTAGGCAGAAACCTTGATGCCATCTTCTCACCTTTCATATCAGCAGATAGGATTCTATTTGCTCTACCTCAGACAATACTGAGCATCCTAGGACTTTCTACCTTCTTGGCTACCGCTGTGGTCCAAGCTGCCAGCCCCTCCCACCTGGATTACGGGTATACTCTACTAAACTGGTTTCTACCTGCGTCTCTGCCCTTATTCCAGTATCCTTGATTCTCAGCAGCAGCCCCAGTGTCCTTTTAAGACCTCAGCGTTGAGTGTGTCTCTCCTTTTCTCAAAGCCGCCACTGTCTTCTCATCTTTCTCAAGGATCAAGTCAATACAAAAGTGTACGGCTCTAGGAGACCTAGCTCTGTTACCTCTCTAATCTGCTATTTTCCTTCTCCCTCTCCAGCCTCAGTGCTTTTTCTCAGTGGCCCATTTCAGATCCTTGACCCCTTACAGATATCCCAGTGGCTGGCTTTCTCATTGACTCAGACCTTTGGTCCGCTTCTTTCTTTCCCTCACCCTTCTTTCTCTGTAGTGTCTGACCTTTCATGAGGTTAAGATCAGATTGTGTCTCCTAAATGTGTGAATGTTTTTCTTCTGCACTCCCTGACTATGTTTTTTTTCAGGGTTACATTTTTGCTAGATTATTGCAAAGTTTTCAAACTGGTCTCCCTGCCTAAATATACATCCCTTCATTTTTTTTAAATTTTTTATCCAGAGGAATCCACTTAACCAAATAACACTTTTCCTTAAAGTCCTGTAACTTTTAGTATAAAGTTTAAACTCCTTGTCGTATCATATGAAGTACATGAGGATTTGACCCTGTCTACTCCAGTGTCATCTCTTATTACTTAATGGCATGCATCCTATGGTCCAGCCATAGCAAAACCCTTGCCTGAGCCTAACCCATGCTCTCCTGTGCTGTTCCTGCTGCCTGGAATTTCTTTTTTAGTTTACCCTCATTCCTTTTCATTCATCCTTCCAACCTCCCACCCCACCCAAATCTGTCTTGGTATACCTCCTTCAGACTGGCATGGCTTGATGCTCCTTCTCTGGACTCTGTAACGCTCCACACATACCTCTTGCAACATTTATCAGTCATCGTAATTGGTTTATCCCCTGCTAGACTGAACAGCTTGAAAACGAAGGTTTTTCTCCTCTCTAGCTCCTATTACTTAGTACAAAGCCTGACATATATGTTTTTGAATGTATGAGTAGAGAAAGGAAATGACTTTTTTCTAGAAAAGAGAATGAAATGAACAATGCATTGAATTATAGAAACAGGGATATAAGGCATGAATTTTGAAGTCAGATATGGGTTCAAGCCCTACCTCTTTTTTACTACCTTTGTGTAGTAAGTAAGATGATAAAACTGCCTTAGTCACCGTGAGAGTTAAGTGAAATATATAAATCACCTAGCATGGTACTGGGCAGGAACATTCTGAACACTTTACAACACCATTATCTACAATGTGCTAGTCACTAGTTATATATTAGTGAATAAAATGATCATAGTCCCTGAACTCATGGAACTCATAGTCTAATGGGGGAGACAGTAGACAACTGAACAAATAAATATATGATTACAAATAAATTGTGCAGTAATGAAAGATATTTAGGTTAAGGGCAGATAGACCTACTTAGATGTAGTGGTGAAAGAGAAGAAAATGCTAATACAGAGGCCTAGGATACAGAGAGACTTTTTCCTTCTTACTCTTTTATAGCTTCTGCATTTTGTATCACATGAATATATTCTCTACTCCAAAAATTAATTATATTGCATCTAAAAATAAAAAAATATATAGGAAATAGGAGAATAATTGGCAGAAGAATATCTGAATCTATTTGCCTTGATTAATTAGAAGGAAAGGTGACCACCTATCGTGACCCGCACGACATGAGCAGTGGGAGAACAAGAGGGGGCGGTGAAGGCTTAAGAAATAAAAGAAACAGCAGTCAAGAGTTAAATGAGTGTGGGGCCAAGGGTCTCCAGCCTCGTGGACTAAGAGCCCCGAATCGGCAACACACCGCTTTTATTTCTCCACCCACCCGGAAGGTAGCATTGTTCTCTCCACTGTCTGTGAGCCTTGTTCCTGAGAACTTGCTCAAGCCAATTTACCCTTGCCTGCAAGCTGCTATTACCGAGAGTCCTGAGAGTCCGCCTGTGGTGATAAATCATAAGCTCTGCCTTCACACACCCTATATGCAAACGACCCCAGAAAGATAAGATTATTGTGCTGAGGACAGATACTATCACACCATCAGGTCACTTCCCAAGCGGCTGGGGGAAGGAATGTAGCCACAGAGGTAGAAAGCCTCTAGTCTTTTTGGGGGGCGAGTGAGGGCTCATGCCCACCCCTGTGAGCCCCGAGATTTCTCCTAATGGCCTCCACACGACCGTGCCTGTCTTAGGTTGTTCCTCCCACGAGGAGTCTTACCCATCATTGACTAACTGGCCGTCCTTTGGAGCGAAACGGAGACACAAGGTGTATGACAACTGTCCTCAAAAGGGTCAGTTTAGGAGTTTAGATTTGGGGGTGGCAGTGTACAGACGGCTGCACAGCTGCACGGCAACACCACCTACTGAGAATGAGGGACATGGAGAGCAAATAAAGCCACATGGAGAGAGATCAAGGTGTGAAATAGTTGCTAAGGACAGTGAGTGAAGACTAGGATTCACAGCCGTGTTGAAGGCCTGATAGAAAGGGAGTTCCCATAAATTTGTATGCACCCTATTCTACTGAGTTATCTAGTTCTCTGCAGTTGTATTCAGCAGCGCTGGTGTACAACCTAAAATTGTGGGATTTGTCCCTGGGTGCAGCTCTCCGGGGTGGCGTATCAGAAGAAAAAGGGGAATAAAGTCCTGTCTAGAGAGTAAGTAGTTAAAGTGGTAAACCATAGGGTTTGGTTTAGTAGGAAGTGAATTGTGATCAGACAGGTCTGATGGACTCCAAAGATATGGAGGAGTCAAGGAAGAGCATGTTATGTGAAAAGTCGGTGGATAGACCGTGTCATTTAATGCTACACAAATTATTTCAGGATATATATATTTTTTACTTCCACCAAAAAGTGTTGCATAAATGTTTAATAGTAAATAACTATTGCTTGAAAAAAGTATTTTTTAGGGTGACTGGTTAGCCTAGTTGGTTAGAGCATGGTACTGATAACACCAAGGTTGCTGGTTCGATCCCCACATGGGCCATTGTGAGCTGCACCCTTCCTAAAAGAGTCAGCTATGCCATTGTAGCATGAAATCGATGTGTAACCAATGACCATAACTGTTCCCCGATTTTAAAAAAAATTTTAAAAATTGAAATTAAAAAATCTTTTTAATAGATTTGATTCTTGAATATGTTTACAAGAATTTTCTGAAAAAGTAAACTTTTTGCTCTTTTGTGTAAATTTCACTCAGAAAATGTCAGAAGAAAAATCGCTCAGAGCAACAGTGGTTCGATGCCTGGCTCAAGCTGTGCTGCCAACAGGTGGCAGGATGGCTCAACAACAACAAAAAAAAAATCACTCAGAAAATGTCAGTAAAAAAATGCTTTAGTTTTTTTATTGATATTTTATATAGGTAGAGAAAGACAGCAAGCCCAAAGGATAGACAAATAAACCACAGTTTTACTTTCTTGTGATATCAACTATAGCT